GCCCGGGGACGCCTGCGCCCCGCTTTCCGGGCGCATGGACGCCGCTCTGCTGCGGCGACGGCCTTCCCTAACTGTGCCCCCCCAGGCACACACCGGCCAAGGACCAGTGCTAGGGGCTGGGAGAGCGTCAGAGCCCTAGCCTGGCAGCCGAGAGGGAGAGAGGCGGCGGCGACCTAAGGCCGACGCGCTGTGTGACCTTGGGCAACTCACTTCCCCTCTCTGTGCCACCTCCTCACAGCCTGGGAGACGACCTGAAGTCCCACTCCACATTCTAAGAGGTCCCTGCTGCCCCTCTGCCGACCTGCCCGCTTGGCAGCTGTGTAACGTCCCTGAATTATTGTGGGTATTCGCTGAGACGAAAACGCACCAACCGGAAGCGATGACACTTGGATTATTTAATCCAAACTTCACAACGGCCCTGCAAAGTCACTCCCCGGATTGTGCCCGAGTGTCAGACAAGAAAGCCGAGGCTCGGAGGTGCCAACCTAGTACGCGGTGGTGCTTACCCACACAGCCCATCGGCCAGCCTCTCAGGCTCTCTCTGAAGGAGCTACCTGGCAGATCCCAACTCTAAGAAGCCTTCTAGAAGTTGCCGCCAAAGCCCAACCGGCGACTTCCGGCTGACGGAGGTGATGCAGCCCAAGTCAGAAGTCCCACCCCCCAGGTCGCCGGGGCCACAGCCCTCCTCCCACCCTGTCCCCACATCCCTCCCCCGAACCACAAGGGGGCAGGAGATAGTCACATGGCTTCTGCAGGGGCAGAATCCAGCTTCTCCAGTCTTTGGCCAAACCCCATCCACTGGGGCTCCCCAGGAATGTGGATTGATAGGTTCCGGCTGTCAGGTGCTGATAACAACGGCTGTCTGCACACGTGGTCTCCTTTCCTGCTTAAAACAACTTGATCGTCCCAACTAAGGGAAGTGATTTCAAGGCGGTCAATGCAGGGGACCAAGGTGCTGCTTCCTGGTCATTCATGGCAGGGCCCACCCCTGGGAGCCTCCCCCGTGGTCTGCCTGCCAGGTTAGACGGTAGACTCGGGAACAGGTCGGGTTTTTGAGCAAATATACATTTTCCTATTCCGGATGACAATTAAGCCAGGCACGGTGGCTCACGCCTGTAATTCCAGCACATTGGGAGGCCAGGGCAAGAGGACTGCCTGAGCCCACAGATTCAAGACCAGCCTGGGCAACTTGGCCAGACCTCATTTCTACAATAAATCAAAAAATTAGCCAGGCGTGGTGGCACACACCTGTAGTTCCAGCTACTTGGGAGACTGAGGCAGAAGGATTGCCTGAGCCCAGCTGGTGGAGGCTGTGGTGGCCAGGAGCACGCCACTGCACTCCAGCCTGGGCAACAGAGTGAGACTCAACACACACAAAAAAAAAAACGGACGTAGGGGTCCGGCGCAGTGGCTCACACGTGTAATGCCAGCACTTTGGGAGGCTGAGGTGGGAGGATCACTTGAGCCCAGAAGTTTGAGACCAGCCTGGGTAACATAGCAAGACCTCGTCTATACAAAAAAAAAATTTTTTTAATGGATGTGAGCTTAAATG